TCTAATCTATCGTCAGTAAGTATTAAAATATCGAATAAATGTAATTATATCCACGAATAAATTAATATCAAATCGGATGTAATAAATATTTCGGACATTCAACAAAGCGACTATGTGATTGTCAACATTCACCGGTGAAAGTCAACAACCACCGATTTCGGTCATTCACAGTAACATGCACATCATTTACATAATAACCTCATCAGTATATTTTTTTCATACTTTGCATAAATAGCATTTGTCATTCTATAGAATGCCTAGGTATTTTATACAATGCCTAGGGAAAGTATGTAATATTTCTCCCATTTCATACTTTGCCTAAAGGCATCCGGCATTGTATACAATGCCTAGGTATTCTATACAATACCGGCGTTTCATACTTTGCCGGTAACATATATATTTAAATTGCTGATTTTATTAAATTCCCGTTACATTGTTATCAGAATAGGTATTGAATCGTACTCTTAACTGAAATAATCAATTGTATTAGTATCCTAGAATTCAAAAATTGAAATCAGATAGCATAACTTTGAATTGTAACACTATAATTTTTTTTAATATAGATGAAACTGCTGAAAACATAAACGAGAATTGCTATCGATGTAAATACGAGCTTTATGAAATAACCTCCTCAAAGTTGTCGTGAAAAAATCGAAACATTCTTCAAAAAAATAAATAAAATGAAAAATAGTTATAAATAAATAAAATCTCTCTCAATTTTAATTATTCATAAAACTTGGAAAAATATAATAATGTATTGCAATCGAAACCATAACTAATGAGAATTAATCGAACATGAAAAGAGTCAAATTTACGTTGACTAAACGAGTTTGAATTTTGGCCCTTTAAACCTTAATTGTCTTTGTGCACCATTTTTTGTGAATCGGGACTTAATTGTGTTTGCGCACAAACATGTAAATAAAAGATTTTACACGTTTTAGTTATAAGTAGATAAATAAACTCGATATGTTGGAAAAGTAATATAATTTGCACTTTTCCTATATAAGATACGCCGAATAAAATTTATAATAAAATCAATAAAATTAAATCAATATTTGAATCGCGCCATGTCTGCACTTTATTACAATTTAATTTAACATAGCACAATCATTCACAGAGCCCGAAAATAATTACTAAATTAGCACCATCCATCAAAGTTCAAAAAAGATAATCATTATGCCTAAAATTTTAACTAACTCTTCAGCATTTACAGGAAAAACACACAAATCCAAAGCGAATGCAACAAATTACCATCTCGAGCTTGGGCCACCCTATCTGAAAACCACCACGAAAAGTTTGCTGTAGAGGTCTTTAGAACATCCACACTGCATAGAAGGCTGGAATAAATATGTCAATCCGAACCACCTTCATCATCTATGAGACGGAAAATAACGTATATGACTTTAATCGTTGCCCCATCCATCAAAAACGGAATAACAAATTTGGCTGCATTCCCTCGGGTTTCTGTTAAAACTTTCTTGGTGTAAGAATCTGTTTAGCATACACACTGGCGCTAAATTGTTGCTTTTTCAAGCCATCTTGGCTGTTTTTAAAATCAACTATTATTAATCTTTTTTAAAGCAAGCGAGCTTGCAGCTCAGTTTTGCCAATCATCAAAGCCACCGGCTCAGCTATTAATGATCATATGTAGTCGTTCTGAATCACGGTATTTTCTTTTTCATTAATCACAATCATAACTTGAGAGAGGCTAAAGGTCGAGCCTCAAAATAACATCCTAAGGATTCAGGAATTTTCTTAACAACGACAGAGAAATATTGCAGCAATTTGTCAAGCAGATCATTTGGAGCTTTTCCCTCAATCTGTTCTGCGAGTAGATCGTATTCATAGAATCTTTTTAGCGAGTCCGGTCACACTTCTGTTCATGTAGAGAGCATGTTGATGAGGATCGCACTGATGCGCACCCATTTTTTCTGGAACTGCTTATATTAGCAAGTACTTATGTCATAATGCGCGGCACACGGAATTCTTCAACTTCAGATGAAGAAACTGATTCGATCACAGCTGTCGCTTAGTCTCATGCTTTGTTGCCGAAAAGCGAGCTAATTCAACTAAAACGAAAAAAGAATAAAATTTAATTTATGGAACAAGGTTGTAATTATCTCAAAATATTAATATTTATTTTATTTGGTATAGCAATTAATCATACAATCTAGTCTGTAAAAAAACTCTCCGCTATCGTTTTCACTAGGCATATATCTTATCAACAGAAAATTTATTAAAGCATGTATTTTAGAATGTTATAAATCGGTATAATACATGATAGAAAATAACAGCTTTGAAAATTTTGCAATTTGTGGAAGTTTTATAAAGCAAAATATATTTTTTTTTTATTTATTTTGATTTTTTTTAGTTATAACTTTAGTCCTATTTACTATGTGATTTTAAATACTGTGCAAAATACTCCAAAATATTATCGAGTAAATTTTTAGGAAATGTACTATTTAATCGGTCATTTTAATATTCGCAGAGACAGATGGGGAATATATTGCCAAATATAATTTAAATAAAATATGTTTCAAATTGTTGGAATATTAAAGACATTTAATTTATTCATTCATTGATTTTGAGAGACTTAACTGTTCGCTTGTTACTTAATTATTTTAAATAGAAAATAATATTCGCATAAAATGTTGACATATTAGTTAACAGTTGATAATAAAACGTGTTTTGAAAAAAAATACAGTTAATATACTTTTTAAATACAGTTAGTATACTTTTTACTCACATATATAAATTTTGACGCTTGGGGACATTAGAATATGAAACATTTTACATCAGAAAAACCTACTTGGTATATATACAGTACCGCTCAAAAGTATCAGTACACCTAGAAACTTTTAAAAAAATGGCAAAATTCAAAGTGTCATAACTTCTTTAAAAATGATCAAAAATGCTTCTGCTTTAGCTCATTTTGAAGCTTAAAATCTCTACTTTTATGTACTCTAATTGTTTTTAATTAATATATTTTGCAACTATGTACAATTACACTCTAAACAATAATAGAAAATTGTATTAATTTTATGTGAAGTTTGACGCAATGTACGGGCACAAAGGGGTTAGATATTGTTAATTTTTATTATACCATTGAAAAGTTTGGACTTTAGCTTTCATTGAAGAAAAATTCCAAAAAAACATGTTTTTTGACGAAGTTATTGTCAAATAAAAAAAAAGGTTTTTTTTCAGAATTTAATGATTTTTCAGCAATTATAATGAATTTTAGTGTAATTATAATATGATATGAAAATTTTTTAATTAAAATAAATTAAAATTTAATATTTCTCGATAATATTATTTCATAATTTATTATAACAATTTTAACTTTTTTTTTTGGAAAATATAATAATGAAATAAGAATCAACGTTTACAATTTAATATTTTGAAATTTATTTTTTCGTATTTTTCTCAGAAAAAATTTGAAAACAAAAATGTAATAATGAAAAAATATTTTACATCATATTTTGCTTTCTTCAAAATATCCTCCCCGCGCTTTTATAACTGCAGCACACACTCGAGGCATCCGATCAATCAGCTTTTTTAATGTTATCTTGTCTATTTTTCGCCACTGCTCTTGAAGGACTTTCCACATATGATTTATGCTGGTTAATGGATCGAAGACCGAAGGTAGGAGGACGAACCTAAATAGTTCCTGTGCGGAATTCATTATAATTGCTGAAAAATCATTAAATTCTGAAAAAAAAACTTTTTTTTTATTTGACAATAACTTCGTCAAAAAATATGTTTTTTTGGAATTCTTTTTTTTAAATGAAAGCTAAAAGTCCAAATTTTTCAATGGTGTAATAAAAATTAACAATATCTGACCCCTTTGTGCCCGTACATCGCGTCAAACTTCACAAAAAATCAATGCAATTTTCTATGATTGTTTAGAGTGTAATTGTACATAGTTGCAAAATATATTAATTAAAAACAATTAGAGTACATAAAAGTAGAGATTTTAAGCTTCAAAATGAGCTAAAGCAGAAGCATTTTTGATCATTTTTAAAGAAGTTATGACACTTTGAATTTTGCCATTTTTTTATAAGTTTCTAGGTGTACTGATACTTTTGAGCGGTACTGTATGTTGCCGTGAATGACCGAAATCAAGAGATTATCCTCTTTCACCGGTGAATGTCGACAATGACTTAGTCGCTTTGGTGAATGTCCGAAATATTTGTTATATCCTATTTGATATTAATTTATTCTTTGATATTATTATATTTATTCGATATTTTAATATCTGCTGTGGATGGATTAGGAAAAGCGGGGCTCGGAGTTGAATGGGCAGCAGTACTTGATATTAAAAAACATTGACATAGGGCATACCGGGCAGTGACATTGAACCTTATAAAAAAAAATCAGTGTAGGGTATACCGGGCAAATGTACAATGGGCAGTGCACTTAATTAGACCTAATATATATTTCGGACATTTACCAAAGTGACTATGAGATTGTCAATAGTCACAGGTGATAATTAACAACTACCAATTTCTTCAATTCACAGTAACATATAAAACATATATATTTTCCCCGTGTTAATTCTTGCCTATCACCGTTTATTTTGTTCTTCTATAGTTTTATTAAAACGCCTCTCATTTTTTTTAAAAACTAGTAACTACGTAAACCATTATTTAAGCTACATAAGTTAATAATCATAATTAACACAAAAGTATAACACTGAATGAAATATTATGATCCTTTCCTAAATTATAAAAGAAATGGACATATCCCTCGTAATAACAACTAAGAAATCTGTAAAATTTAGGAGAACTCTTATTTTCTATGCTACACAATAGTTCTGAACAAGAAACGAAAAAATGACTGCAGAATTTTTTAGTGCAAATGAACACTTTATTTTTAAAAGTGAACAAAAGTTCATTTGGAACTGAAATATTAATAATATGGATTTAATAATAATTGTTGGAATTTGGTGCTTCATCACATTAAAGTCTAAACAACGTTACCAAAATTGATTAACCTTTGCCAATATTTTTAAAATCCCTCAAACACTGTACCCTTTTAAAACTCAATTTGTGAAAAAAAAAACATATTCCACCGTCAAAAATAACACTACAAATATTAAAATTATTTAACAAACCAAATGGTTCTCTGTTAAGTTCATGTTAAATAATTATAGTATACTAGTGGGCTACGTCCCCTTGATTTTGCTGCTGCTCCCCAACCATCGCAGATTGCTATGAGATCTTTATATATATATAGATAGATAGATAATAAAACTATAAAGACAAAAAGGATAAAAGAAAACAGTGATAAACGAGGAAAAATAATAGTAAGTTTCACTTACAGCACATAAGCTGCAAGTACATAGAACTCATAAAATAGGTTAGAAATATGAAGAAAACAAGGAAAAAGATATCAAGATTTTTTAAAGTGCAGGAAAAATGTATTTAAATAAATACATTTATTCGATACATTTTTCAGAGAACAGTGTGTTTATTTGTATTTTTTAGCCAGAAACAAATTTTTACCTGTAAGTAAATTTTAAAAAATCTTTCGTTATAATTTTTTGAGATCAACTTTATGATAACTCGAGTTTTTCTTAAATATCCATAAAAGAAAGAAGCAAACTCCATCTAAACGGTATCCAACTGTTTTTTAGAAAAAAAGTAAAGCCTTAACAAGTTTAAGTATGTTTGTATTCTTGACAACTTGGTAAACAATCAAGAAAAAAAAATAGTTCTAATCACAATTATTTTATGTTTATGTCGAAGAAAGCTCAACAAATCCGAATCCCACCTTTTTCTCTTTCTTTCCAAGCTGCTGCTCAAATAAAATCGCTTACATTTTTATTTGAATCATAAACGGGCCTTAAATTACAAAAGCAAATAATATTTAATGTGAAAAAGTTATATTTTATTGGTAATTTAATTATTTTTTGGAAATATTCCAGTAATCGACGTTATTAGTGTTCGGATAAAATCAGATAATAATTTTTAAAAAAAACTTATTTCTTACTTACTGAACTAACTATAGCTATGTCATTAAATTTATTAAATGATCTCTTCACGCTGATAAACATACAGAGCTTTAAAAACTAGGAATAAAAGTATTTTTAAATTAAGCATTAAGTAAATGAAGAGAAATTTTCGAAACATTTATTTGTAAATCAAGTAAATCAATAAGATTTCTTATAAATTTTCCTTTTTTTTCTCAAGAATAGAAACATGCAGAATAGAAATAAATCGATTACCTGGAGTCCATTATGTCAACCTTAAAATCTCTTTATATTAAATTTACTCGACGAAATAAAAAGACATAAAGACAACAAATAAAACTAAATTGTCAAAAATGCTATGTAAACAACATACTAATGGTACTAATAAAAAGGTTCTATATCACTTTAGCTGCCTCACGCGTTTAGAGTGAAATCTCCTTCATTCCACTAGTACCGAAGGGTATTCTGCTAAGTACTCCCACTGATAGTTTAATAATGCAAGACTCTGGTGGTCACAAGAATAATAGTCTCGCTCCATTTGTTTCCATGGTATCATGTCTGTTTATTTGCGTCCGTTGCTGCGCATCCATCTCTTTTTCATCTAGCCGCTTTGCACGATCAGTTTGAATCTTTTCCGAGTAAAAAGGAATAAACTTAAAAACTATACCTTATTTGTTGAAATTTCGAAAAGAAAAATGGAGAACTTATTTCTTAGTGAGCCAAACAGCTGTGAAGAAGAAAACTTTTCGAGGCTCACGATAATTTTCTTAATAAATCATTTTTGTATTACTTATATAACAATTCAATGGTTTTGTTGCTTTCTGTGATATATCTTTTCAAATACATACGAATATCCTTCGCAAGTAGTCAAATAAGCGTCACCCCAATTCGGGTGACGCGAACCGATCAGAAACTTCGCTGTCACTTGAATATGGGTGACGTGGCCCGATCAGAAACTTTGCTGTCACCCGAATATGGGGGACACTGCCCGAACAGAAAGTTTGCTGTAACCCAAATATGGGTGACGCGGTCCTATCAGAAACTTCACTGTCACTTGAATATGGGTGACGTGGCCCGATCAGAAACTTTGCTGTCACCCGAATATGGGGGACACTGCCCGAACAGAAAGTTTGCTGTAACCCAAATATGGGTGACGTGGCCCTATCAGAAACTTTGCTGTCACCCGAATACGGGTGACGCGGCAGTCAACATGATATATCGTTAATTGTAAATAAAAATTCCTTTAATTTCTGTTTGAATGAACTTTCTTTANGGTCCTATCAGAAACTTTGCTGTCACTTGAATATGGGTGACGTGGCCCGATCAGAAACTTTGCTGTCACCCGAATATGGGGGACACTGCCCGAACAGAAAGTTTGCTGTAACCCAAATATGGGTGACTCGACCCTATCAGAAACTTCCGCTGTCACCCGAATATGGGGGCGCTGCCCGAACAGAAAGTTTGCTGTAACCCAAATATGGGTGACGTGGCCCGGTCAGAAACTTTGCTGTCACCCGAATATGGGGGACACTGCCCGAACAGAAAGTTTGCTGTAACCCAAATATGGGTGACTCGGCCCTATCAGAAACTTCCGCTGTCACCCGAATATGGGGACGCTGCCCGAACAGAAAGTTTGCTGTAACCCAAATATGCGTGACGCGACCCTATCAAAAACTTCGCTGTCACCCGAATATGGGGACGCTGCCCGAACAGAAAGTTTGCTGTAACCCAAATATGGGTGACGCGACCCTATCAGAAACTTTGCTGTCACCCGAATACGGGTGACGCGGCAGTCAACATGATATATCGTTAATTGTAAATAAAAATTCCTTTAATTTCTGTTTGAATGAACTTTCATTATGAGCGTACTAAAAGTAGGTATTGAAGAATTTAAGATTTAAATAACTAGAGTTCTTGTATAATATGTGAGACGTCAGTCTTTGGTAAGTCTCGTTTGGTTTTCGAGGGTTGGCATTTTTGCTCTTTTTCACTCGTTTCTGTTCTCATAAAAACATAGACATATCTTATAGAAAAGATGAAGAATGGTAAGAATGTTTAAATATTTGAAATGATTAATGTGCATTGTAATATAAATACCTTTTAAAATTATTATAAATTTCGTTTGTAGAGCATCAAATTTGTGTAATATTAGAGGGACAGGAAAGTAATGTCGTTTCGGTGTACTTGATATTTGTTATCAAGATATTATTTTTAATCAATAATGTATTCACCCTCGTTAGCAACAACCTTTCAATGCCGGATCGAAAATGAATCGGAATGGATAGAAAAAAATGAATTGGTTTTTAAGACTAACGAATATTTAATGCGACAAAACGACATTACTTTCCACTCCTCCTAATAGTTGCCACCCTAAATCGCTCGACTATAATTTATTTGCGAATGAACCCACTAGTAATAAAGGACTATTAAAATTTTTTTGCTATTTAAAAATTATAAATTAAAGCTCTTAATTTTTAATTTAAAACTTTTAAATTTCCTATTTATAACTTAATACATTTTAAAAATCACAATTAAAACTGTTCCTCTGTGTTGCTGCAGAAGTCATGTTTGTGCCCCTTATTGTTGAGATACTATATACTTCAGATTTCGACCATTAGTTTAGTTCGCAGATTATCCTTTTGTATTGTCCAGCTGTGTCCGACTAACACGGACCCATGTATGTCCTACAACGCCATTCAACAGAAAAGAAGACATAACATATTTGAAACGTGACACGAAACCTGATTTAATAATTAAAATATCGGCTAAAAGAAGTGTCGCCAGATATTCAACTTGCTTAAAATAAATCAAATAATAAAAAGAACATAAGATAATAAGAAATAAGAACGGCAATTAGAAATTGCCGACTAAAATCGGTGGAGGGGAAAAAATCGAAACATTCCTAACCGAATTTTTTTTGAACAACAAATAGCTAAATTTGTTTATCATTCATCTCTAAAATAACATATTTGCGACTAGTTTCATGTGATTTCTGATAAATGGCAGCAGTAATCTTGCCAAAAGTACTGGGTCCGGGTTTAAACCACTTATTAAGATTTGTTTTTAAGTAATCTAGCCAGTTTGGGTCAGAATTTAATAATAATGACAGACAAAAGATTGAAAAAATAAAAGCTATCATAATTAGTTCAATTTAGTGTTATTCAATCTACCATTTGTGAAGCAACAGTCACTATCGCAAGTATATATTGGACATTTAAGACATTAAAGTAACCTACACATTCCATTATACCAACACCAATCTGTTAAATAAAGAAATTTAAACCACGCCAGCCAAAATTATTTTATGTACGCAATACAGTCAATTTAGATTTCTATTTACATGCCAAGGGTAGGATATTCGCGTGTCCGAATCATTCACCAGAGATTTAATAATGGCCAAACAATTCCAAAGCAACACCCAACTGTTTAATAGCAGCATTAACAACATTTAATCCTCAATAGTTCTATGTACGAATGTAATCTAGCCAACTTGTTTCTGAATTACAGTATAATGTCTGACAAATGACTGTAAAGAAAAAGGCATTATTCATTAATAATTTCTATCTTGAAATTTCTAGAGTTCTTCGCACTCTTTTTCGTGAGGTTAAATATAAGGATTCACCTACTTAAGGATCATAAAAAAAGCTATTAATCTTTAGGTGACGTTCGGAAATTGTAGGCCTTGGCTTAAAAAATGTGCGATTTACAAGCGAAAATCATTTCGACACGGCCATAAAGCTTATATCGCCAAATGTCACATCTCTTGTCAAATTATGACTTATAGACTTATACAACAACGTGTTTTGTAAGCATGATCTAAACGACGAAGCTAAATTCTATTCATTAGGTATATTTTCATCAAAATATGACCCATCTAGAGCGGGAACTATTGGCGCAAAACTTTCAGACAATGATATAGGTAGGTTTTTTCACATGTTCGGGCGTTCTGTGATGATTTATTGCTTTACCAACAATCATTAGATGAATTAATTAATGATTTTTCAGCTCAATGAATATGAAACATTAATTGGTATGATACGTCTCATTTTTATGTAAAATTATAACGTCTTATTTTCGGCAAAGTCATTTTGGAGATTAATTGCTGAAATTTGATCGAAATAACGTAATTAATGAATTTAATGATTGTGTAAAAGTTAATTAACACCCGAAAGACCGCAGTTTGGTGAAAGGTTTGAAAATTGATTTGTATGCACGAGAAAAATAATGAACACTTGTGAACTGTGAACAACCAATAATGTGTTCATCTTTGAAAAATTCATGATATTAGATTCAATTATAATGGAAATTATAAGTGGGAAAGTATTAGATATGAATTTATAATAATTTTTAGGCACCACAAAGTAATAAATGCCCATGAACCTGATGAAAAATGACGGCCAATGATGGGAGCATGTTTGAAAAATTCATGTTCACAGATTTACTAATTACTATATACTTGTAGTAAGTAAAGCATAAAAGTAAGTGATGCATGCAGTTCTTATTATCAAAGTATAAGTTAGGAAAATCTAATTGATCAACAACAACAAAATTTTGCACAAAAAAATTTATAAAATCTTTTCAACCTGATGATAAAATGATAACTAATGATGGTAATAAATCCATGCCTACAGATCTATTATTATGGATCTATGAAATGAAATTCTAATTAGGAAATTATTCGTTATGAGGTTCTAATTGCATAAAAATAAATTTGCGAGCAAAAGAAACTGATAAACGTCCATGAACTTATAGTTTCCTACTTCAACCAATTTCAAAAAATTTCAACCACTGATGCGTGTGTGTTCGAAAAAGAAATCACGCTTTAAATTTTTTTTAAATCATTGTGATCTATAGAGATGTCTAAGCTGACGTTATTTCATTTACTTGTTCACTGGAATTCCATCAATGATCACAGATGAACCAATAGGAATACGTTTTATTAAGATAGGAATACTGCCGTGTAATTGAAAGAGCAACATAAGTGCTTCGCGATTGATATCGAAAAAGTGGCTTGACAACTTTTCTCCTTCTGTTGCTAATGCTATGGACGCTAAAATAGAATTTTAAGCCACTGATAAAACAAATTTTATTTTTGAAAAAATATTTTTTCGTAATATGTAGCTTACCATATAAAGATGATAAATACATGAAATTCTCAGTTTTGAATTTTTTGTCGCTTATGTTGATTTTTCTATTGCACGGCAGAATATGAATCCACCAATAGGAATAATGCAACTAACAAGCTGCCATTCACAATCACAAAATCATGACGACTGATTCATTCCAAACAGTGATATAGTTCACCCTCTGGCATGGACGTCTCTATAACGTAAAAATTTAAATAGGAAAATACATACACTAAACAGAAATGCTTTCTTCATGATCTCACAAGCTATCAGCAAACAGTGTACGTTTTTATACTTCGGATTTCAATTTTCCAACTATTGCTTGTTCGTAAACCAAACTGAATACGAAGAAGTCTTCAATGAACTAAACTTTAAGTTGGAAAAGATTTTTGAAAAAACTTATACATATCCTGAAAGCATTTTAGAAGACTACTATATTATAGTAATATTAATTTTTGTAATTCTAACGCATTACAATTAAATAATACTTAGAACTGTATGTAAATTTGATAGACTTTGTTTTCAAACTAAATAGAAGCTTTCGATGTTTCATGTTTCGTAGAATA